GTCCTCGTCTTCGTCCCTTCTGCTAAAGAATATTTGACTTCGACGTCGGTGAGTCTTTAACCTGGTTTTTTTTTTTCGGAAAAGGAATTCTAGAAGGCTATGATGTTTGGGATTCTTAATTTTAGTCTCAGTGTGATTCAATTTGTTTCCGGTGAAGTAATCGCTAGATTATTCACCGAATTTGGGTTTGTTTCTTGTTATGTTGATCAGATCATAGAAATCAATGGAGTGATGAACAGACCTTGGTTTTGTAGAAGAGTGAGTTTAAAGCCTTTTAGAGAAATTGATTTTGATGCATCTAGTGGGAAATGACTGATTCATATGTTATTTTGGATGATTCAGAAATTTTTGCAAAGAAAATTTTGATTATAGATTTTTGCTCTTTCGTGATTCTGTTACTAATATATCACAGGAAATTGTGGAGTTTCTGGTATGTGCGAATGAATATTCTTCCTACATATTTGTGTGACGTTAGAATTGAATTTCCAAGCAGAAGTAGTAGAGCAATGGGAAGTTCTTGAACTTGGCGATTCTGAGCTCTCGTCTTTTCTCGGTCCTTGCAAACGCAAATCTCCATCAAAGGCTCTACAAACGCCGACGTCACAACAGAATCCAAAGCCGGGTTTTAATAGGAAAACAATTCACCATCAGACACAAGGAACTACTCAAGGAATCATGACCAATCTAAGATTGATGTAGAAATGGAAGAAATTAGTCCAAGCAAAGATCAGCGTGAAGTTGGAATGGATCGGACTCTCTTGGGAAAACATGCTACAATCAGCCAAACAGAAATCGCCGCAAACAAGAGGACAACCTCAAACACTCAAGAACCGCAACTGCACAAAGATGTAGCTAATGGGACATATTCAACGAATGACTTCAGACCGGCGAAACAGATGCGTAAAAGTGGTGAGCAAGATACTGCAATGAAGAACTCTGAAGCAGCTACATCTGGATCCAAGGTCAACAAATCTCAGCCCATAGCGTCTTCCAGCTCGGTGCCACAGTGGACAGATGAACAACTTGAAGAACTCTTTGCCAAACGGTTGATGTTATGCGTTTACTGTTGTTTAATGCGCTTGATTCGGTTGTTGTCAATGGAGGGGAGAGTTCACCAGGTAGAGAACTTATTCATGAGTCTGCAAGAAGACTTCTTTTAGAGTTGGTTGAGTTCACTGAGAAGCCTTTAAGCCCGGTGTTGCCAAAATCTTCTTTCAAGGAACCTTTGATTGGGAAGGAGAGGGGTTTTAGATCGCGGAATGATGAGCCTTCTCAACGTGTTCGGTCTCAGTAGGATGCAGATTGGGATTGTCCTAAGTAAGTGGTTTCTAAGTATGATTAGCTCGTTTGCCATAGCTATAGAGAAACTGGATTGATTCTTTATATACTTATGAATCTATTTTTTGTTTCCTAAGCTCTTAACTTCTATTTGCAAAGATTCACTGAATCTTCAAGATCTAGCCAATAATTTTGCCAGTTTTTTTGGATGAAGAGATTAGTGTTTTCTCTGTAAATTTCTGACTGCGTTTTTGTGTCTCTGTGTTCTTCTACAAATGCTATTTTCTAAATTTCGCTAGAAATGAAGGATGCCGAGTGTGCACTGAAGTCGCTGACCGAAGATCTGTTGCTGCTGTTGTCAAGGAAGGAGATTGGATATGTCCTGAGTAAGTCTAAATCTGACACTTAGCTGCTTTTCTCGGAATCAATTTATGCCAAACCATCATTGGTTATCCTTTCTTACTCCACAGGTGCAATTTCTCAAACTTCTCAAGAAACCAGAGCTGTCTAAAATGCCAAGCAAAGGGACCAAAGAGAACTTCAACAAGAATGTTGTTGAAATGAAAAAAGGAGACTGGAATTGCTCTGGGTAAGTTTCCCTTACCTGCCACTAAACTGTCTTCGCCGTCTATCTCTTTGTGTTTATGATATGTTTGCTTAAAGACTAGAAGCTTTAAGAGTCTTATATTTTAAAGTTGTTTTGTGTTTTTTGATTGCTCTGTATTGATCATACCACTTTGTGTATTTTCAGGTGTGGATTCATGAACTTCTCTAGCAACAAACAGTGTAAACAGTGCCGAGAACGACATCCAAAGAGGCAACTGGAGCCTTGAGAATGGGAATGTTTCTCTATCTTTCTTGATCTCTAATTTCGTAATTTGTTATCTAAGCTAGCACTCTTCTCTCCTTGCTTTTATGTGTATTTTTCTGCAGATGCGACTTCTTGAACTTTAGGAGAAACTCTGTTTGCAAGAAATGCGAGTGAAAAATGACCTAGCGAATCCAACAACCATCAAGACGACCATTCATGGAAGCCACCCACCTTACTGTAAACTTTTACTCTAAAAGTTTCCAAATTCACAGCTTGCTACTTCCTTGTAAGTTGTTCTTTCTCTTCTTCCTTTTTTAGTTCTCAAACTTCTAAACAGAAAAATCAATTCAAAGTAGAATAATGGTCACATGATTTCAAAGATGGTTGAATAATGGTCACATACGAGAAATAGCTGTTTGAGTTCAAGGACATTAATTAGGAAGTCTTCCTTATCGTTTTAGGGTTCGTCTTAACTGACCATGATTTCTATAAATAAGCATGTATCTCTCCTAAGAGGGGGATCCACAATTTTACCTAGCTAAACAGTTGTCTTCTCTATAGCAGTTGTTGTACGGATAGGCTTTCAAACACCTTAGTAAAACACCATCTTTGGATCTTTGTTATGTAGTTTTATTCAAGTGCCGAAGAACAAGATCTTCTGATACTTGAAGGAATCCATCCGACCAATTTTCTGTATTTGAATTTGATGTAGAGAGAGAAGAGCCAAAAATAGCTGCTAAAGTAAGAAACCATACATGCAGTTTTGTTCTGCTTGGATGTCTCGGATGGAATATTATTAGCTATTTACACCATCCGAACAAACATTCAAAGCGAGACTTGAAAACAAGCGTAAAGTACAAAGTAGTATTAGTTTAAACAAACCATTCCATATGAAAGGGCTTGAGAAAAGAAACAAGACTTGAGAACGAGCATATAAGAAATATTAGTTTAGACAAACCATTCACCATATGAAATGATGCCTTTAGAGAACAAAAACAACACCATATGGGCCGACTAGTCTTCTTCATAGTCGTCTAGATTCTCATTCAGTCCTCATCTTCTTAAACTTTCTTGCACTTTTCCTACAAATGTTTTAGAATCAGCCAATAAGGCAATGAAGAAAATGTATTGATAGAGGCAAGGATGCTTACTTCCTTTGTAAGTGCATGTTCGGTACCCTTGAGATGAGTGGTGAAAATTTCAAAGCTTTGGCAAGGAAACTTGCATAGCTGGCAAAAACACAAGGGATCTTGAAGAACCTGTCTTCTTGTCCCCTGTTTGGTGTCTGGAGTAACAAGATCTTGTTTCAGTAAGAAATCCCAGCGCCACTCTGCAGAGATCTCCATGGCATGTTTAGGCAGAGGAAGTTTATATGCCACAAGAATGTTGTATTTGTTCCCGCTTCTCTTCTTTTGTAGCATTGCAAAAACGTAATCGAGGCAACTCAAACCAAGAGAATCAGATATGACCATTATTGTAAGCTCCTGCTCATTAAACCTTCCCCAAACATAAAATCGTTCACAATGCTTCCAAATACCTGTTTCAAGGAAAACCCTAACTTGTACTTAAAGTTATACGAAATCTAAACCCTAATTTTGTAAGAAAGAGAGAGAGAAAAGAAGATTAACCTTGGCCGAGGTGCTTAAAACCGATTCCAGAGGAGAGGACTCGCAGGACTTGAATAGGGATGCCATCTAGGTCGCCAATGGCGGTGAGAGGGCCAGTGTAGCCTAATTTCATCAACGCCGAGTCTATTCTCCCACCAATCCGACAATCTGAAACGGCGGGAAGCGGACACCTGTTGATGTCCCAAAACACCACCGTTTTATATTCCGCCTGCTGGGTGTCACCGGTTTGCGTATCTTCATCGTTTTGCCCAAACTTCTTTTCACCATCTTTTGATATGAAACGCCACGAAAGAGAAAGATGGATCGGAGGCGCTATGAGAGGAGGTCCAAGGAAGAATGATTTAGGGTTTCTTTCAGTTTGGTAGTGCTTAAGATTTATTTTTTGCCCGTTATATTCATATAAAACAATTTAAAAATGGAAAATGATAAGAGAAGTAGAATAAGTTGATATATGTATGGAAATGGAAAAACATAGTTACTACTTATGTCATCTCTGATACGAAAAAAAGACAAGATTATACTAGCTTCACGCAGAAAAAACCTCTAAGCCATTCGTTAGTATAGAGTATAGACCTTAGCTACTAATTTTACATGAGAGACAAGCTATGCACACAACACAACTAGAAAGATTATGGTCTTCATCAGTTAGTCTCCATTCGAAATTTCACCATCCGATCCTTCTTCCTTCTTCGTTATCTACCGAACCGTGATTCTTGAGACATGCTCTTGGTGACAGAACGGACTTTTGAGGCGTCTGAGCCACTGGAACTTTGTTTAATTCATTGCCTCCCTCAAAGGGGTCAAGCTGGTACATAACCTTAGACCGTCCTAGTGTAAACTTTCTGCTTCTTGCAAATTGATAAGCTCTCACTGCATCTATGCTCTGCAGGAAAACTATTTTCCCAGAGCTTTCCTCTTGGTTTACATCAGTTCTTGAAGCGTTTATCTTCCCAAACACGCTGAATCTCTTTAACAGTTCTGGTTTGGATGGGAGATCCCCATGTCTACTCAAGAACTTCATTCGCAAACATTTTGGATCACCAAGTCGCATATCCCACAACGTTATCGTCCCCGTTCTGTAGTTGCCGTCCCGTTAAGCTTGATACGTCTCAGGGGACGTTTCCCAGGCGTACCGACGCAGTACCCGTACCCATGTCCCAGTTCTTAGTCCAAAATGAGGTACCCGTGCATCGTAGCATCGAAGTAAAAGTGTGCAATACGGAGGAGATGATTCTTCTTCATTAAATCACATAGATTTACACTTCATGAGGTTTCACACTTTCAGAGAAAAACTACTTACCGTTTTAATCAATTCCATAGGTAGAAACACCATGCCGTTTTCTGTCTGGTAAAGAGGACTACTTGCCGTCTAAGTTACTTCGTCGTTGATAAGCCAATTCTGCAGCTCAGCTAGGTGCTTCAATGGCGACGACGGTGAATATCAAACTTTCTCGATCAAATCGTATCTATCGCTCTTCCGTATGTATCTAAGACGAATTTGTCAATTTACTCAGGAACCAGTCGAAGGAACAATTGTGATAAAGTCTCCTTCTTCGATTTCTCACCAAGGAGTACGTTTATCAGTCAATGGATCGGTCAATTTACAGGTTTCAGTTTCTCGATTAATTCTTATTCAAGTTTAAAACCTCTTCTTCATCATCTGATTGTTCTTAGGTTCGTGGAGGATCAGCTGGAGTAATAGAGTCATTCAATGGTGTAATCAAACCCATCACGATCGTGTAAGCTTTGTTTTCTCTACTCGGGTCTTGTTTATTTTGGATTTTTGATTGATTCCTTAAGCAAAAACTTCAACTTTCCTTGCTTCTTGGAGCTACAGAGAAAAGACGATGCAAGTTATTCTGGGACTACAGAGGTAGATTACTACACTGTTTCATTAGAACAAATTTGTGAATCTTTTAGTGAGTGTGATTTGAAACTTGGTTTGTGTTTGTTGCTTCAGATACCATTCTTTGTAAATCTGAAGGAGCCTGGAGAAAGCATTGTAGAAAAGTTCTATGAGACATTTCATGGAACAAATATTAACATTCAAGTTAGTAATTTTGTATCATTGTTGACAAGGATTTTTAGTGTTTGTTCATCTGAGAATTGGAGTGATGCAAAAATCTGAGACAGTATCTACTAACTGCAGATATGCCGCGAGGATACTTGTACAATTATCTGCGACAACGGAGTTTATAATTGAGAGCGGTAAGAGGTAGGTTTTTCTTGACTTTGTCGATGTTTCTGAGGTAAAGTTGAATAGTTCGTCATGTGTTTTTTCTGTCTTTTTTGGTTAAAGTTGATCTTCCTGAGCAAAGAAAAGATTGAGAGAAATGAAGAATGAAGAAAATAAACAACCATACGATTTTCAGTTTTTTTCTTTATCGTGTTTCGTGTTTTGTCTTCCACAAAGTTTAGTCTCTCTATATACTAAGTTGTACACCTTAATGTAGAAATTTGTTGGAAAAAACACGTTCTCTCTCTACAATTCTTCTCCGCCTTCTCTCTACATCATCTTCGCCGCTTAGCGGCTCCGGTGGCTCTTTGTTTCTTTATGATTTGCTTATGTAGATGTTTTGTCTCTTCTTGCTTGGTTTGGTTGGATGTGTAGATTTCAAATTTCAGATCTAGTTTTTTCCTTCCTTCTTTTGCAAAAAGAGTTTTTCTTTGGTTGTGGTATAGCTAGTGAGGCTCGGAGCTCTTGATTTCTTTGATATTTAGTCATGTAATCAAGCCGGATTTCGATGCGGTTTGGTTTGTTGGTGGTGGTCTTAGGCGTTAGCCTTAGACGTGGGTTTCGTTTTTCACTCTGGGTCTTCGAAGGTGTGCTTGGTTTTGTCTCGATTGTTGTTACTGGTTAGTCGCGGAGAGATGGCTTTTGAGTGATTGTAAGTGCTTGTTCGCTTTTGAGCGATTGGTATGGTGTTTAGGGAGAACCGTTCTCGCGACTGGATTTGGCTTCCTTTGCTTGTATAAGCAGGTTTTGGCCCTTTTTCCTTTGACACCTTTGACTAGTATCATCTTGATCTTCTCATTGGAATCGTGTGTATTTGCTCAAGGCGTGTCTCCATGTCGGTACCTTTGTGGATCCCAAGCTCTTTGTCGTCTTAATGGTCCAGAGTTTGATATCGAGGCAGTTTATACCTCCCCTAGTCCATTGTGACTAGTGGTACTCTTCCTTGGAAAATAACTATCGGAGGGAGTTTTGACCCCAACAATAACCTACCCACCTAATCTTCATCATAATAGGTCAAAATCTAGAACTTTGCTTTCCCACAAGAGGTTAGCGTCGACCAAGGAAGACCATAGATAAACACTAATTATTCTGCTAAACTAAGGTCGGAGGGAGGAAAAGGAGAAAGATTCAACGAATGAAAAAGATGTTAATCGAAGATTATCCCAACTAAGCAAACCACTACGCACACACAATCCTGAGACTATTAATGTAATCCCAAATCCTAAGTTGTGGTAAATATAAATCCAAGATAATAACCACCAAGAAAACAGAACATATATCAAACAACGAACTAGATTGTTGAAACCAAACACACAAGGCTATAAACCATAAAACCAGCCCAAACCACGAATGTCAACTCCATCCACTAGATTGTTGAGACGGATTATCTCCACGATCGGCCGTTGGAAGCCTCTGCATGCCAACTCCATCCACCGGCCGCCAGAAGCCTCTGCACGACCAAGACATACGGCGAGAAAGAAAAGTTTCTGACGAAACCAGGCATAAACGCGACTTCGCCCATGGCCGTAGCGACCACCTCTCCATCCAAAAAGCTAGATCGAAGCTCAACACATCACCATTTTTCGCCGGTTAATGGTGGTTTGAGTCTGATTCGTAGACACGCCAGCAAGGACGGAGAGGCAGAGCCAGAGAGAGGAGGAGGAGTGGCCGACAAGTCGTTGTCGGCGATGTTATCGCCGATATAGACAAGTCTTCATCGCCGACAACGATACTCTACTGGCTGGAGTACATAGGTGACTCAAAGAACAAAGAACAAAAGAGGAAGAGGAAGAAGGGGGAGGCCGGAACGGTGCTAGAGAAGCCACTGGCGCCGGCCCCGAGCTAGATCGGTGTTTCTGCGACGGCTGAGAGAGTTGGAGAATAGAGAGAGAATACTGCCGACAGTTTGGCTGAGTTGTTAAACTCGCATGTTCACGTTAAAGTAACAAAGATTTATTTATTTTATTTTTTTGGCAAAAAGTTTTCTTTATGGCATTAAATTGTAACATAATTCTGCAAATTCTACAAGCAAATTCTGCAAATTCTGTAGTTACCATTTAAGTTTAACATATTAAAAC